ATGTTGGCCTCTCTCGGGACCTCTCTTGAGACTTGGGAATGTGAGGCTTCTCTGAAGAGGACGGCCGTTAGTTAACGTGTGTCTGTGTATGTCTGTGTATGTCAGTTTGTCTTGTGCATTAAGACCCTTTTGTCCTTCTGGAATTCATCGCCCCTTCCCGGGCTTGAGAGACGGGGGCAGGCAGGGACTTTCCTCCGCCCGCGGCCTCGAGACGGAAGCGGCTGCAGGGCCGGGAGTTCCCCGTTCGCGCGGCGCAGGAAGGGACTTCACACGCCCCTCGCAGGAAAGCTCGAGCCCTACCGGGCGGGAGCGGCGCTTCCGCGCAGGATTTCGTAAGACTAGAGTGTTTTAGTCTGAGTAGAGACGTGTATTCTTTCTCTCCCTCCCCTCCTTCCTCTCGCTGAAGAAACGTTTAGACCTTGTGGTAACTCTGGGAAAGGGGGATCTAAGCAGCCCTTGCCTTCCCCACGGGGAAAAGAGCTTGATGAACTTGGCAGAAGAGTTCAAGCTTGGAAATACGGAGTTTATAGAGAATACGTATATTTTTAAAAGCTCTAGCTCAAAACTACTACACAGTGCTTTTAAAAAGTGTTTAATGAAACAAAGTTTACAGACAGAACCCCTAAGTGGAAAGACCTTATGGTTTTGTAGATATGGTGACTCCAGTCTTTGTTGTATAAAGGTTGGGGGAGCTGACGAGGTTTTTGTACAGTATTTTCTCCTTCGTTGTATTGATTTTTGTATAAGAATGTAACTTTACGTGTCTAACACGTATTAAATATTTTGAAGCAATATCACTGCCTCCTTGTCTGTGATCACCTGCTGGGTTGGGAGGAAGGGGGTGGAGGGGGAACTAATGGTCCAGGCTGGGAAATGGAAGGTGTGGTTCTTAATATCAGTCGGCCACAGACTGGGGATATTGTTTGCTGACTTCACTAAGTATCAAGAGAGACACACTTAAGGTTTCTCCCCCAGATCAGAGGACTGCTATTAGATACTAATATCAGTGGCCTGCCAGTTTCTTTAAACTTGCCCCGACAACTGCCTTTTTCTAAAGTCGGTTTAGGCCAATTTGACTTTTTACAGCTCAGTCTGATGGTATCTTAACATTAAATAACTGAAGTGCCAACTTTTGAAGCCTTTCCTGTCCACAAAAATGTTTTTTACTAAAACTCCTTTTTTGTCTCCTGTTAAACTATATAACATCTTTCAGCTTTGTTATTGAAAATAACTGACACATGAGGGAAGCTAATGAGACTGACTGACCCAGCTGGTCAGGTCCACCTCTGTATTCCACTGGCTGTCAGGATAGAATTTTCAATTTTTTCTTTTATTGTTATATCTGTAGAAAGTAAATGTATCAGTGAAAGGAAATTGCTTGTGCCAAACCAGATATGGGAGGAGGGTCAGGAGGGCTAGGCAGATTTAACTTATTTAGCAAAACTTGCTGATTTGTTTTTGTCATCCAAATGGTGACGTCAGTGTTTGGGTGGTGGTAAACATTTAGGTGATCACAGGCAAGTCACCCGTTCATTTCACTACAATTAATGCATTTGAGGGAGCTTTTTGTCTAAGGCAAAATATTCAATATTTGAAAGTTATTCAATAGTCTATTTCAGAAGCAAATCAATTAGAGAACAGTATCTTAAAATATGGTTGCTAGTGCTTGGAAATATGGCATTGGCCTATAAAACTTATAAATAGAGTGTTTAAGAGATGGGAGAAATTGAGGAAAGATTAGATAAAGTTTTAAGTAAAGTTAGGGCCTTTGAGCAAAAAGAATATATATGCATGGTGCTTTGGCCTTCCTAAACTCCTGATTATATGAACTTCTGTCACAGCTGAGTAGACCAGTCCTTTGATATTTTTGTGAATCTATTGGTTATTTGTTAAGCATAAGGAACTCTACGCTCTGTCACCATGATAATATATTCATAGAATTAAACATTCTCTAATCAGGTTCTTGTTAAAATTGACTTTTCTTTCAGAGATAGCTACTTACGTTCTGTTATAGCCACAAGAGATCCATTAAGTGCTAACTGCTTAAACTGAAGAAGGTGTCCAGAGCCTTAATTTTGCAAATATTTCCTGTTGCTAGAAAGTAATTATGATGCTTGAACAGCTATCTCAGCACATTTTTATATTCGAAAGGGGTAACTTTTGTTGTGTTTAAGAGAGTTGATATGTTTTAGATGAACGAAAGTTCCTGTCGATCCTTGTTTTCACATGAAGATGAACCATAGGACTATGTGTCTGCTTAATTTAGAGAATGTAAACTGACATATTTGATAGAGAGATACAGCTTTGTAGGAATTCAGAAAAGGTCATTATCTTTTTTGTTGCAGAAGCAGTATGTGTAATGGTTAGAGCATGGGCTCTGGGGACAGACTTCCAGGTTTTGTATCTTTGCTCTGCCACTTACAAGCTGAGGGCCCTTGGACAAGTCACTTCATCTCTCTGTGCCCCAGTTTTTTCAAATGTGAAATTGAAATAATTGTATCTACCTTGTAGAGTTGTGCAAATTAATGAGTAAATACCCCTAAGGTTCTTAGTACCTTATACATAGCAAGCATTTAATTGTTAGTTAATACTGTTAAGATAGGAGTGAATTCTGTGTATAAATCAGAGATGATATAGTCAAAGAATTGTGTAATTTATAAGAAAGGAGGGGAAGGGAGAATCTATTTTTAAATTATCCTCTGTGAATGCTGAGTTCTTTTATTCTTCTGTTTTTCCCCAGACATTTGGTGGTCTCAAAGCTTAGTTCCATCAGCATAGTTTTGCTGGTTGGTAGTTCTCACACCAACCCTGCAACTTTCCTGATTGTAATCAAACAACTATTTTCTGGGAGGAGTAAGCAGGAGTGAAAACACTCAAGGAGCAAAGATCTTGTTGACATGCTTTCTGTGGATGAGTAAAGGGAAAAAAAATAGCCCACAGCGTTATTTTTAGCTTGAATTGCTTGGGCATAGAGTGTTTCTTAAGCCATGTTAATTGATGGGTCCTGGAAAAGAGCTTTCGCAGTGCCAGGAGGGGTTATCACACACAACTAAATCAGATTCAGTGCGACTAGTAATGAAGCCATAGTTTTAGTAACCAACTACTTCTTGACCACCCTGGGAGGGACTTGTTCTCTTGATCAAATAACTTTAGCTCTGGTCTGGGGTGTGGTGGAGATAGGAAGATGAACAAAGAATTTATATGCATATATGCATAACCCATGGAGAGACAGTATGGTGAAGGCCTGGGGAGGGAGT